ACGTATTTCGATAAAATCATCACATGCCTCAGTAGTCGAAAGGATAAGATGCCTGCCCGGTAAGCAGGAGATCCAGGTTCGATTCCTGGCTAAAGTGGTATTTTTTCGCAAATAATTACGAGTTTTCACGACTGGTTCGTGGTCGGGCACCGCCGTGACGCACATCCTCCCTTCTTATTTGGGGGCTGTTATACATAACGGCTGTTCACACGAAACCCTTCTCCACGTCAGTCCTCCAGGGCCTTGCTGGAGTATTTGCTACTACCACCAAGATCTGCACCGACGGCGGCTCCAGGCAGGCTCGCGCCCAGACCCTTCTGCGCACACCGTCGCGATCCTCCTACTCGTCAGGGCTTCGTGGCGGCGCGTACGACAACGCACGGACGTCGCCCCACTTGCCGCTGACGGCAGAGTATAGGTTCGACGCTTCAGCGCCATCCATTTTCAGGGCTAGTTGCTTTGGCAGGTGAGTTGTTACACACTCCTTAGGGGATTCCGACTTTCATGGCCACCGTCTTGCTGTCTTAAGCAACCAACGCTTTTCATGGTGTCCCATGAGCGTCGAGTTGGGCGCCTTAACTCTGCGTTTGGTTCATTCCACAGCGCCAGTTCTGCTTACCAAAAATGGCCCACTTGGCACTCTGATCCGAGATCCGAGATGCTCGTGGCTTCATAGTTCAAGAAAGCCAGAGATCTCACCCATTTAAAGTTTGAGAATAGGTTGAGGTCGTTTCGGCCCCAAGGCCTCTAATCATTCGCTTTACCAGATGAGACTCGCGCGCGTTCCATGCGGAACGGCCCAGTGCCAGCTATCCTGAGGGAAATTTCGGAGGGAACCAGCTACTAGAAGGTTCGATTAGTCTTTCGCCCCTATACCCAGTTCCTACGATCGATTTGCACGTCAGAATCGCTACGGACCTCCATCAGGGTTTCCCCTGACTTCATCCTGACCAGGCATAGTTCACCATCTTTATATATATATATATATATATAATACACACATATATATATGTATAAAGAATTATTTTCAGACATTCTTCTTTTTTACGTTTAATGAGTCATATATTACTTCACATATAACAAACAATTAAAAATTTTGTTTATAGAGCAATAAATTAAAAATATTGGCTAATTTTTGTATTCATTGTATACTTTCAGATTCTTTGAACGAAGGCATTGATTAAAGACTGTCTTCAAATTATACAGTATTTAACAGAAATGTCCTTAAATTATACAATCGACATACTAGACGGAAATATCCCCGAATTATATAATTGATATATTTGACAGAATTGTCCTCTGTATAACAATATTGTACAAACAATGTACCTCATGGAAATGTCTTCAAATTAAATATTCTATACTAATAACTGTTAAAGTATATTTTATGTTTTTAAATAATTTCTTGCTTCTCATAAATATTTTATAGTCTAAATACTAATATCTTTTGTTAATTAATTAAATATTCTTTGAGTTTATCATCCTTAAAGAAAAAAATTTAAATATTATCATAAATTACTATCAATATAAAATTACTATTTCATAAAAACATAAAAATGGCGACAAATGTATGTGCTCATATCGCCTTGGAAAATTATCAAAAAATAAAAATGTTAAAATTTATTAGATGTACAAAAAAGTTCTGAGCTTTAGATTTCATACAACCGAAATAACAATTTAAATTTTATATATCTTCCCGCCCTTTTGCGGTTTTAAAGCGTTGACATTTGGCCTTCTAAAATGCCATACGGTTTGATGTTTGATGCACATAACCTCAAAAATCAATAGTGTTCACGATGGCAATAACAAAAGAGCATATTCGATTTTCTATCCACTTCGCGTTTCATTTGAGAAAAATGCTGCTGAAGCCACTGCAATGATTTGTGCTGCATATGAAGAGAACGCTGTAAGTCATACTACATGTAAAAGATGGTATCAAAAATTTCGCCAAGGAGATTTCAGTCTTGAAGATGAACCGCGTGCTGAACGCTCTCAAAAGATTGAAACGGATGAATTGCAAGCACTGCTGGATATAAACTCTGCGCAAACTGAAAAGGAGCTTGCAGAACAGCTTGGCGTTACGCAGCAAACCATTTCCGTACGTTTACATACGATGGGAAAGGTTCAGAAGGAAGGCAGATGGGTTCCGCATGAATTGTCCGAAGACAACAAAAATCGTCGGCGTGACACTGCACTCACTTTGCTTTCAAAGTTCCGGAAAAAAGATTTTCTGTACAAAATCATTATAGGCGATGAAAAGTGGATTCTTTATGATAACCCTAAACGTAGAAAATCATGGGTCGATCCTGGTCAACCTTCGCCATCGACGCCAAAGCCCAATATCCACGTCAAGAAGGTCTGTATCTGGTGGGATTGGAAAGGTGTGTTGTATTACGAGTTGTTACAATTGGGTCATCAAACAATCATCAAACAATCACGGCAGACCGCTACCAACAACAATTGACCAATTTGAGCGATGCATTAGAAGAAAAGAGGCCATTTACTGACCAAGGACGTCGTAAAGTGTTCTTGCTTCATGACAATGCTCGACCACATGTTGCGAAAGCGATTAAGGACTATATCTTTGCGTTAGGCTGGGAACTTCTCCCGCACGCGGCGTATAGCCCAGACATGGCACCTTCCGATTACTACCTATTCCGGTCGCTGCAGCATCATTTGGCTGATACACATTTCGTGAGATTTGAAGAGATACGAAAATGCATTGATGACTTTATCGCTTCGAAGCCGGTGAGCTTCTATCGTCAAGGAATTCGCAAGTTACTTTTTTGCCGAAAGATAGCAAAAGGTCGTTGATGCAAACGGAGAATATTTCGCTGATTAATATTTTTTTTGTTGTTTTTGAATAAAGATTGAATTTTACAAAAAAAAAGCTCAGAACTTTTTGTACACCTAATAACAAGATAAAAAAATTTGAAAGAGCATTTTGGTGACATATTTTAAAGATTATCTTTATATCAGTTTTCGAATTAGAAAATCCTCATATACAACAAAAATTTTTATCCTGTCTTCAAATGCACATATTTAAATTTTAATCGTCTTTGTTATAACCATATATTTTATAATGGCAAATACATTAATAACTTATTTTTTCGAGAACTTTCTTGCTATGATATTTTGATTCGCGAATTTTCGGACACCTTGTATATATAAAATATATATATTGACCTAAAGCTAGACATTACGTATAAAAAAATCCTGTAATTTTAATATTACTGCTGTATAAAAGATTTTGCATTTTCAGATGTGTTACTTGGGCTGCATCACGAACATATGTGATTAAAATAAGAAATGTCCCAAACTATTCAGTTGATATATATTTCTACATTTAATATTGTCCTGGAAATATGATATTTTGATTCGCGAATTTTCGAACACCCTGATATTTATATATACATATAATATACTGTGGCGGCCACCGCCACTCCGGCCCTGCACCGAGCGCGTCGGCGCGCGCCGCCGCGCTGCCACGCGCCGACACCGTGGGCCCGCGCACGGGAGTGATACACGCTCGCCACGAGATGGCCAGACGTCCGACCGTCTACTCGTGCGTGAAAAGCCGAAAGGCCCGCCCGCGCACGAGAGTGATCCGCGCGCTCGCCGCGAGATGGCCACACGGACAATCAGCAACTCGTGCGCGGAAGACCACACGGCCGCTATATAAGAGCGGCCAGCACCAGCAACCGGCACTACCCCTCAGTGCGCTCTGGGGCCCGTACACGACTAAGGAG